GACATACGTGCAAGATCCCCGCCCCCCCCCACGGCTCCCTCTCACAAACCTCTTCAGACCGGCGTCGCCAACGCTGTTGCCAGCCCCGTTGGCCGCCCCCGCCGCCATCCCTCCAACGCCGCCGGCAGAGGCGGCGGCTACCGCCACCACTCCAGCGTCCGCCATTTTGGCGCCGCTCTCAGAAACCGCCGCCGACGCCATCACGACCGCCGCCATTTTCTCCTCGGGCCACTCGACGAGGCGCGCCAAAAGGGAAGGACTTCGTTGCGCAGGCGCCGACAGGTGTGGACACACGCCCCGCCCCCGTTTTTGAAGGATTCCTTTCCTGCCAATCGGAGGCAAGATATATATATATATGCCGCGCCCTTCTACCTACAGCCTCCTCTTTGCCCACGATGCTTTTTTGCCCAACCAATGGGAGAGGACCGAGGGAGCCGCGACCCGCCCTACAGGTCTCTCAGCGCCTTCGTTCGGCCAATGAAAGAGAGGGACCTGTTTGAGCCCCGCCCATGCGCGTCATCCAACCTTTTAAAAAGGCCAATCGTCAGGAAGCGGCAGCGATAGCCTCACCCGCTTTTTCTCCGCCGGCTTTCCTGCCACAGTCCGATCACGTGCGCGAGAGAGACGGACGGAAGTGTGGATTTAAAAGAAGATCTTTAAAAGAAGGGTACTTGAAAAGGCAGCCTGAAACTTCCGGTACAACTTCGAAGGCTGCCATTTGACGTCAGAACAACAGAGGGGTACCACTGAAGTCCCGGGGAACCCTCGCTTTCTGTTGGAGAAGAAATACTGATACGAACCCCCCGGGGGGGGGGGGGCTCTTGTTATTTTATTTTTCCACCGGGGTGGGGGCGCGAGGATACCGCCGTTTTCTTTTTAGGAAACGTGCGGAGCAGACCCACTCAGGAGCAATGCTTCCTGGAGTCTTGTGAGCAAAAATTGTACTTTGTGAGCTACTGGCATTAAAGTTGTCAGTGAGCAATTTGACTGCTGCATAAATTAGTTAGCTCTGGAGCCGTCCTCCCTGAGCTAAGACAGAAATGCGTGAGCTGGAGGCTAAAAAAACTGAGCTAGCTCACACTGACTCAACTTAGAGGGAACACTGCCCAGGAGGTGTTTAGTTGCCCATTGCTTCTATGTTGGTTGCTCTGCCCAAAACGCACACAAGTTCGATGGGAAACCCGAAGTGGCCTTTATGACGAACAGAAACCTTTTTTGTTTTGTTCGGTTACACTTAAGTGTTGCTAATGCATCCCGTTTTAATTACTTTTTGCCCAAAGCCCACCAAGCCAGCATCTGGCTTCCTACAGTTTCTCTCCCCTTCACACCTGCAGCTGGTATTCAAAAGGAAATTGCTTTTGAGCACGGAGACCCCACCCTGTAGATAAAACTCATCCAGGCCACAGCAGCCACGCTAGATGAAGGGCCCTGTACTATTTCCCACTGTGGCCACAAAAAAAGGCTTCTGATGTAATGACTGGGGCAGGGCTGGCTCACCCACTAGGCAAACTAGGTGGTCGCCTAGGGCGCGCCAGCCCTCAGGGGTGCCAAACTGCGCCCCGCCCCCCTAACTGGGCGATCGCCACCACCATGGCGGCTGGCAAGCGAGCAGAGGTGGGAAGCGCTGGGGGTTGCCCCCCCTCCCGGCAAGAGAAAAAAGCGAGGATCGAGGGTCTCTGCCCGCCCCCTCTCTCTGTGCTGGTGAGGGAGGAGGCGGCATGGCGGCGGCCAGCGGGGACCCACTGCCAGCAGAAGCAGGAGGACGCCCAGCCGGGGTGCAGGAGGCAGCGCTGCAGCTTGCCTGCCCTCCCCCCTCGGGGAGGATGCACAGGCAGCATGGCAACGGCCAGCAGGGACCCGCTGCCAGCAGAAGCAGGAAGACGTCCGGCCGGGTCGCGGGAGGCGGCACCTTAGCTCACCTGCCCTCCCCCCTGGGGGGGGGGAGGAGGCGGCAGCAAAAGGGTGTTCAGGCCCCACTGGGAGGTTGGCATCTGCACCTCGCCTAGGGTGCAGAAACACCTCAAGCCGGCCATGGTGGGGCGGGCATTTTACACAGCCTCTTTGTGTGAGAACCAAATCAGAGATTTTGAAGTGAATAAATACACATTTCCCAGAGGAGAGCTCCACCAGAGGCTACTAGTCATTCCTCCAGAGACGAATCACTCTACCTCTGAGTGCCCAGACCTACAGTACAAAAAAGGCTGTTGCCAGAAGTGGTATCCAAGCTTGCCGCCTGGGCAAAGACGGTGTAGGATTAGATGGGCATTCTTGGTCTGATCTGGCAGAGCTAGTATTCCATCATCACAGAATCAATTGCATTTTTTGTGGACTCACCTTCCAAGACTAAAAAAGCTTGTTGTTTTTTAAGTGGCAGTCAAGGAAATTAAAGCAGACCCACTTGTTTCACCCCACACTGATGAAAGCCTGATGCTGTTACATTATCTTCTCTATTTAAAAAACACACATCAAGCATTTAGACCAAAGTGGGCAGCCCTGTTGGTCTGAAGCAACAGAACCAAGAGTCCAGGGGCACCTTGAAGACCAACAGAGTTTGACTCAGGGTGTGAGCTTTCATGTGCAGGCACACTTCGTCAGACAATGAGATGGAATTACATCTCATAGTTGTCTTGTTCAATTAGCATGCAAAATAGTGAAGTGTTTAAAACATATTAGAGTCTGCTGCTCTTCACCACTACACCACAAGCCACCACCTATATATACAACTATAACCTGCAATTCCATTTCATTGTCTGATGAAGTGTGCCTGCACAGGAAAGCTCACGCCTTGAATCAAACTCTGTTGGTCTTCAAGGTGCTCCTGGACTCTTAACACCATTTTGTTACTGTGAGTTCCTGTTCTCTAGAGAACACCACAGCTGATCAAGAGGAAAGTGCAAAGCTCTGAACACACCTCTCCCCCCTCCCCAGGAGGGAACCCTTGTCAACTTTGTGGCCCCCACGGCTTAGCAAGGTTGCTTGTAATAAAGGGCAAACTCCCCAAGGGTGCGTCTCCCTCCCACAACATGATGGCCAGCATCCCCCCCCACCTCAAGGAGGTGACCCGGCTAGAAGGAAAGGATTGGCTACAGCAGTTGGCGGCTGCCATTCTTCCAGGGATTTTTTGCATCATGAGTGAGCGAGCACAGGCAGAATCGTCCACTCCAGTGGGCCATGAAGTTCCATGCCAGGAGAAAGAAACCTGCCTGGATTGGGAAAGCTCAAATGGCCTTGGAGAAAGCCACGCGCAAGGGCACCTGCTAGCACAAGCCGACGGCCACGATAGGCACTGGCTTACTAGCCCCAACTGCTGGACCACCTGATGGCACCTGGTATTTTGGGCCACTGTGGGTGCAGTCAGATGGCGTGCTGAAAGCAGGTTAAACTGCTCCAGTTCTAACCGGATTATATTTGATCTGGATAATTGCGATCACACTTACCTCCCTTATCCCGCTTCACCGCGCAGTCACGTCGCTCCCTGGCGTCTACACTACTGACGCGCGGGAGCGTGTGTTGGCGGGTTTTTTAAAAAACATTTCCTCAGTTTGTGCCCACATGTGCATAGGCACCCCTCCATAGTGGGGGGGGACTATCATGGCGCATGCGCAGAACCACCAGGGCGAATCAATCCAACCCCTCCAACAAAAGACTTCCCTTTAAATGTTTGACCCGAAAATGGCCTCCGTGAGATCCCAAACTCATCTAAACGCTAAAACAAGTGACCATTTAAATGTCGGTTTTCTAAACGTGGTGGCGGAGCTCTGCCTATGCGAACACCACCAACGCATTTAAAAAATGGTGGGCAAAAAGCGGACACCTCAGGCAGCTTTCAAGCGGGGAGGGGGTTTAAACCGGAAGTGGCTCAACACCACAGGAGCGATCAGACGTCAGAAAAGTGCGGCTGGAACCGGAGAATGAGGAAAACACTTTGGGACCTGGTAACAAAATACTCCGTTTTAAAGGGGGGTTAAGCCAGAAAGTGACAGCTGGGGATGGGAGGCAGATGTTGACTGTGTGATCGCGCTGATAAAATCCGTTTCTGAGGTGGGCCGAAAGTGGACTAAACAACCCGTCTGACTGCACCCTGTGTGACACAAGAGTGTTGGATTGGATGGGCCATTGGCCTGATCCAACATGGGCTTCTCTTACGGTCCTTCATCTGGAAAACGCAGCAGTGCGGGAGGCGGCAATTGGTGAGCCCACACAGATCACCATCACCGCTGAAGGACCGAAGCCCAAGTGGCCCCTAAGGCACTGGCAAAGCCAAACTGCTTGCCCATGGCCCACAGGGATATGGCCCTGTAGGGTCAATGGCCAGTCCTCCCCTGCTGGCCACAGCTGCAAAATGGGAGGATCGCAAGAGTCAGAGGGCACTGAGCCACTCTACAAACCACTGAGAACTAGAACCACGATGCTCACCCCTTAGGGTTGTTGTGCTGAACTTCACCTTAGACGTCGAGAAGGTAAAAGGAAGTCAAAGTTTTAAACGTGAAGCTGCCTTAGAAGGAATCTGACTGTTGGTTTAGCACAGATTTAGCACAGCCCTGGCTCCTCAGGAGGATGAAGGGCTCTTCCCCATAACTATTAACTGGAGATCAAATCAGACAGAGTGTGTGCTCAACTACACCGCCCCCTCAAACCCAACCACTCTTCTGCCTGGCCCGGCATTGCCTATCCGAACTGGCAGGGCCTCAGACAGAGAAGAGAGCCTTTCCCAGCACCTTCTGCCTGAGAGAGCCTTTAACGCAGTGATCCCCAGTGGAAGGACAGATGGCTCTTTGACTTGCCACCTGTGGCCCTTCTGAGCCCTGTTCCCTAATGCAGCAGGAAAACAGGTGTGGCTTGTGATTGGCAGGAGGTTTCCACCCTGAAATCGCCCCTGCTGGGAGAATGGGCAAGCTGCCAGCCTCCCTGAGCGGCGGGCCTCACGGCAGAGAGGGAAGGAAATGTGGCTCCTTTCGGGTGATGGTAATTGCGAATATGGCTCTCTGTGAGCTGCAGAGTGAGCACCACTGCTTTAACCCGTGAGGCCAAAGACTGGATGTGGATCCTTCCACATGCCAAGCAGGTGCTCAGCCTCTGAGCAGTGGGGCCTCGGCATAAGCAGCCCCCGTGCCGTGATGGACCACTGGTCCATCTTCCAACGTGACGTCCCTTGACCCCCAGCAGCACTTCCCAACCTCTCAGACAGAAGGGCCTTTCCTGATACTTGTAAACAGAGATCCTTAAAACCGGGGAATGTCAGGGAGCTTCTCTGTGAAAAGCAGGTGCAGAGGAGACCAATGCTCCCTCTGATTTTTTCCCCCTGCTGAGCAGAGCAGTTCACATCCTGAGCAGAATATAACTGCTGGAAAGTGCAAGACCCTGCAGGGCTCCAGAATGCTGCTGAGCAGGGCTTCTGGAGGAGACCTTTTGTTTCAGAAAGTCTGTCCTTGAAGAAAGGCTGGAGGTGGGGCTTCTTGTCTTTGTATTTCTTTCTCCCCCCCCCCCCCCCCCCGG